AGTTAAGGTGCTGGACACTCTTATATGGCTGAGCACAGTTCAAGTCCTGGACCTGGTGGCTTGTTTTCTTACTTTCTCTCTCTTTCTGTGTCTCTCTCTGGTCAAATTAAAATAAAATTAATGAATAAATAAAATTAAAATAGACATTCTTTTTAAAATTTTTTGGAAAGATTTTTGCTATAGATGTGCACACTCATTGGAGAGAGAGAGACAGCGAGAGAGAAAGCAATAAATCACTCTCCAGGGGCCATGGCCACCCCACAATCCCTTCTCTTCCATTCTCCTCCTGGGATTTTGGGCATGCACACACAAATCACTGGGTCTGGGACTCTAACGTGGTCGGTCATGTGTGAATACGGGGCCTTAACCATTATGCCACCTGCTGCCTCTAGATTCCTCATCTCTAACAAGCTTTCTGGTGATGCCAATGCTGCAGGTCCACGAACCACACTTTATATGAGACGACTTCAAAGAACTTTGAAGTGGAAATACGAAATTCTAGTGCAAGTTTATTTTGGTGGAAGAAATTCGGAAATCCATGCACACTTAAACAATAAGCATTTTGCACAAACTTTCTGAAGATGCTTTGTATAGCAAGATCCTGGAGGTAGGGGTAGGCAGGAACTCTTCTGAGATCCAGGAATTCAGGCTCAGGGAAGGTCAGGGGCTAGGGGTGAGGAGAGAGGGAAAGAAAAAGGATTAAATCTCAATTTAGCTGTTACTCCGTGCTCAGAAGAGCCACAGAGCATCTGGGGACACTCAGCCAGCTCGGCCGGCCCGCCTGGCAGTTTCGGGCGCGTACTCAGCAGGGCATAGGCTCCCCTCACCCGGCTATCAGGATTGATGCTTAAAGGGTCATTAGGTACCATTTTCATATGAGGAGAGTGAGGCCAGGAGGGGAAAGGGGCCTGAGGCCCAAGACCCCTGCAAGTGTAACCAGACGGGACCAGACACCTAGTCTTCTGACTCTTTCCTTCACACAGAAATCGTTTCTTGAACACCTACTGTGTGGCAGGCCCTGCATTGTGAAGACCCACTGTGTGCCCCAGTGAGTCCATCGCAAAAGTTGCAGTGGCCAAAACAAGTCATGTAGATGGGGGTCAGGGATGGTGAAGAGAAATAGCGTCATCTTCTTTTTTTTTTGGGGGGGGAGAGGTTTTTGCTATAGGGCGCGTGTGCTTGCCAGACAGACAGAGACAGACATAGAGACAGAAAGCAAGAAATCACCCCCCAGGAGAGATGACCACGACCCAATCCCTTCTCCTCCATTCTCCTCTCAGGATCTTGGGCATGTGCGCACATGCGCCTGGTGTGAGTTTTAAGCCCCCGGGTCCAGGACACGAATCGCAGTCAACTACGTGGGAGTCCAGCGACATAGCCATTACGCTAACTGCTGGTCCCTAGAGTCATCTTCTGATGGGAGGTCTGGCAGGGTCACATGGCAGAGATGCGAACACAAAATGGCGGACACAGAGGCTGGGGTCAGTCAGGAGACCACTGCAGATCGGAGGTGAGATACCAGCCAGAGTCAGGGCAGAGAGGGCGAGGAGGGCAGGTGGGAGGTGTGAGAGCTGTAGAGGAGGGGGTGTCAAGAGGCCTATGTGGGTGAGGTGAGGGAGAGGCTGGGGTGGCATCTATGAGTTGGGCTTGGCCGAGGGCTTGGACTGAAGTGTCCTCACTGGGAGGGCACGCGGGAGGAGGAGCAGGTCTGGGGACAGACGGGGACTCTACCTTTGAACCTACGAAGCTCGAAGGGCCATAGGCCAGGCGGGTGGAGGCAACTGGACAGTCTCATCGGGAGGGCAGGGGAGCGAACGGGCCTAAAGGCAGAGCTACTCTAGGCTGGACCTGAGAAGCACCAGAGATTCTTAAGTGCTTCCAAGAGACACGGGGAGGTCTGAGCCCTGGATGTGTCTCTGATCATTCAGGACATCTAGCTCCTCTGAGGCCTGTGGTCTACACACGGACCCCTCGTCAGCCCCTTCTCCAACTAGTACAGAGCCGAAGTGGGGGGTAGGTAGAGAGGGGACTCCACTCTGAACTTTTGTTACCCGGAGTGGCTCTTGGGCAGCAACCTCAGCCATACCTGGGAACAAGTTAGAAAGACAAAGATCAGCTCCACTCAGAGCCGCTGAGTGAGAATCTGCATTTAATAGGCCCTGAGTGGCTGATGAGCGAGGTACTTGGAGAGGCCTTGGTCTAGAACACTGACTCTTAATCTCAGCTCTGCCTTTGCATCCCCAGGGGAGATTTGCAAAGTACCAATGCTCGGGTCCTACCCCTGAGTTTCTGACCTAATAAGTCCGGCCGAGTCCCCAGCCTCAGGACTGTCACAGCTACCCAGGCGGCTAATGTATTAGGTCGTCAGGAAAGTTATCAGGTATTTGTCTATGTTTTACTATGCAAAAATGGGTCGAGACTTTCCAGACAGCCCAGTACGTCCAGGGTGAGAACGGAGGCCCCACCACCTTCTTTAATCGCACAGAGCCGGGAGGATGGAAGGTAAGTGACTTCGCAGAGGTCAATTTGCAACTTTTCTTTTTTAATAATTTATTTATTTAATTCCACTTGTTATTATTATTATTAAAGAATCATTATTTTTGAAAATTTAACTGTATTTGTTTACTTATTTGTAATTGGACCAGAGAGGGACAGAG